TCAGATATTAGGAGGCAATTATCAGGCACAAGCAGAAGGTAAATCAGGCTATTGCCAACACAGGTATGTGGTGAGCCATGACTAACACATACAGAATTTGTTTACTGCTATCGCCTCCTCCACATCTCCCCCCCCCCCCTTACCAGTTTGGTCCACTTGGGGTGCTCTAAAGTGAGCATTTTGGGGCTGGGGCTGCCTTTTTAATAAGTGTGTACAGTGCCTAGCACAGTGGGGGTCTTGGCTCCTGATTGGAACCAGGAGGTGCAGATGTAATAATGATCCTTATTTATTTATTTGTATTGTATTTAAAATATTTTTTTACCCCGCCTCTCTATTTAAAATATTCAAAGCGGCTTACACATTTTTAAAAAACACAATACAAATATATATCAAAATTTAAAAATACAAGACCCCCAGAGGGACATAAAACCTGCTAAAAACGTCTCGAGAGGAGGAACACACACATACAGACCCAAACACCAATAAAAGCACGAGTAAAAAGGGCAGCTTTAGCCTGACGCTGAAACAATGCTAACGTTGGTGCCAGGCAAATATCCCGAGGAAGAGAATTCCACAGCCTAGGAGCAAAAGCTGAGAAGGCCCTGCTCCACAGAGATGTTAATCTTATCGCCATAAGTGGGGGCTCCTTATAGCAACTGCATGCCAGCAAAGCCATAGCTCAGATACAAACATGAAGGGGAACCTGTGAACATAACAGGCATAAAATAGGCAACACCAGTAGCAAGCCAAAGTCACTCCAGTCCCGGCTACGGAAACAGACAACCGTGATGACGGTGACTGATCACTGACAACAAAACCACCTGTCCTACAGGCTATGTCTACATACCCAGGTATAGAAACACACCACCGCTGTGACATAGGCCCGCCTCCAGATACAATGATAGCACTGAAAACAACTGAACCCCTTGCCAGGTGAGTCTGGCCTGCTGTGTTTTTTTAAGCCAGTACAGGCAGTCCCCGGGTTACATGGATCCGACTTACATTGGATCCCTACTTACAAACGGGGTGAGGCAACCCCGCACTCTGGAGAAATGTTTGGCTAGAGTTTCCCCTACAAATATGTACCAGTTCCGACTTACATACAAATTCAACTTAAGAACAAACCTACAGTCCCTATCTTGTACATAACCCGGGGACTGCCTGTACTACGACTTATACGTAGCATTTCTATGGAGCCTTCCTTCCAAGGAACATCAAGTGCATTGTAGAGATTGATCACTTAGGAGAAATGATGGTTCAGTGGTTAGAAACTGGCCAAGGACATGGAAGAAATTCCCTGTTCTGCCACAGACTCCCTATGTAACCTTGGGCAGGTCACTTAACCTTTTTCTGGCTCAACTCCCCAGCATCACAATGGGGTTACTAGCTCTGCCCCACACAGGGCTGTGGTGGTGCTAAATTCCATAAAACTCATGAGAGAGCGCAAGATCTACATAGGCAAGCCAGTTTCACAGGACCACAAGTCACATAAGCAAAGTATTATTAATTCAAATGCAGGCAGGTCTTTTTCTCCCCATTTTACAGGTGGGGAAAATACAGACACAGAGAAGTTAAGTGACTTGCCTACACAGGCACAGCTGGGACTAGAACTCAGGACTCATAAGACCCAAACCTCTGCATTTTCACGTTCCCTACATATTGACCCCAGGGTGCTAGCCTCACAAGCCAAGAGACCTAGCCTAAGCAGCCTAGTTAATAGGCAAGACCACCAAGAGCAGGTCTGAGCTTGTTACCCTATCGACACACAATGCAAACAGAATGACATCTCCTGCCCCACTGAATGGTGGGGAGGGAGCTGGTCTTCCTGCCCTATTCACTGCCTCTCCTCTGCAGGAAGACCCGTGCCCTGTCCCACCCCAGCTCCTCTTGCAGGAGGGAGGGGAAGCTAAGGCCCTCTCCTCTCTGGGAAGAGCTTTCATGAGGTCGGCTGGACTTCTTCTAACACTCAGGAAACGGCATCACTGATTTCCCCCTCTCCATCCTGGTAAAGAGTGGGGTGGAGTGGACCTCCCCCCTCAGGTCCTACACATACTGGTCTGTCTGGGAGCCAAGATCTCCTTTTGGCTCCATTTCCCTTCTTGCCCTCATTTTCGTCCCCTGGCCGCACCCTGTCCCCATGAGGAGCGGGTAGCCACCATGGATCCCTTCTTAAAATGGCTGCCTTCCAAGCTGAGTGGAATCTACCTCAGCTACTGGGGCAGGTGGGGCAAGGGAACATACACGGGGCCTCCTCGAGAGGCGCAGCACAGGGAGGGCACCTGCTCCCTCAAACCTTTTGGGAGTGATTCAGCCCAGGCCAAGACCCACCAATGCCTCCTGAACTGAACCTTCAGTTGCCCTTGTTGAACCATCCTCCTGCGAAGAGCAGCCGTGGGGAGCCTGGCGTGGAACTAGCAATACTAGCAAAACTATTGTACAGAGACAGAGGAACTGCCTGATCTGACCTAGTGGGGTCTTCACATTGGGGCCTTCATCACTGGGGCCTCTGAATGCCTGTGACTAGTGATGTCCAGGCAATTGGGAATGGTCTCAAGTCCATCATGAAAGATACCCCAAAAGAAAGCCAGACAGTAGACCCTGCACCCCAATTACCAGGCCTTGAGGGACAGGGAAACTCCTCTTGACCTGGAATCACAGCTGAGGGGATGTTACCTTCTTCACAGTTCATCAGAGACATATCACGGGTTGCTAGACAATTACTGGCCTCATTATTCTCCCACCTGGCATAGTTGGGCCAAGAACGCTCAGGGCCACGCTTGCATTTTGTCACATTTTTCAAAGCAAATATTCCTGACTCCCGTGTGTCCTGTTTGCTGTCCTGAGACTCCTTTAGTCCAGGGTCGATATCGCACCAACACCCCCAGTGCACCTGATCCAGTATTGCGCTAGAAGGGGGATCTTTATAAACACCCTGAGCATGAGCCGGCAAAGAACTTCATGGCCTGGGACTATTTTACAAGCAGGGAAACAATATCAGAATGACCCCGGGTGTCAGATGCCAGGGACACACAGATCTGGGCCCTGGTACAACGGAGGACAGTTATGTGCAGCAATTAATGCAACGCTCTCTGTGGGGAAGCCGTTTGCATTACACTGGGAAGCTCTATTAGAGCTTTGTGCTTCTGTGTTTAAACGTGCCGGGTACCTCTGCCAGCATATCCAACATACTCCAAGGCTGCGTCTAGACTGGTAAGATTTTGCGCAAAAGCAACTGCTTTTGCACAAAAACTCTGCTCCACTGAATGCTGGGAAGGGAGCCGTTCTTCCTGCCCTATTCACTGCTTTGTAATGTACAAAATCAGTGCTTCTTGCACAAATACTTTCACACTCCCGCTCGGGAAAAAGCCCTCTTGCACAAGAATACTTGCGCAAGAGGGCCAGTGTAGACAGGGAAGAACCGTTTTGCGCAAAAAAGCCCCGATGACGAAAATGGCGATAGGGGCTTTCTTGCGCAAAATCATGTCTAGACTGGCCACCGATGGTTTTTCGCCAAAGAGATGCTCTTTTGCGGAAATACTTTGAAAAGGGAAAACTTTTCCGTTAAAAGTATTTCCGCAAAAATCATGCCAGTCTAGACACAGCCCACATGTCCCTCACTCCTTTTCCTCAGCCACCCAAAGACATCTTGGGCCAGATCCCCTCCTGGTGTAAATCAACATCATGTCACTGTCTTCAGTGAGCTACCCCAATTTCCACTAACCAGGGATCTGGCCCACACAAATGTAGCCAGATCCTTAAGTAGTGTGAATCAGCACCACTCTGTTGATGTCAGAATAGTTACACCAGTTTAACCAGCTGAGAATCTGGCCCAGTGTAGACAGATAGATAGATATGAACTGTGCTTTATAAAACAACTGATTTTGCATCAGAGGCTAAAATGTTCTGCTAAAAGTTGCTTTTTCACGGCAAGGAGGAGCCACGGACAGTGTCAATGTCTATCGGATAGTTTAGAGAGGCAGGTATGCAGACTGCAAAAGGCCCAAGTGTGAATTAAATAAGGTTTTTACTGGGGGCGGAGGGGGAGGGAATGGATACAAGGAAATGAAGGCAGATAAATAAATAAGCAAAGCACAGAGAGGAGCTCTTGAAAAGCAGCGGGAGCTGGAGTCTTTGTGTGGGTTTCTCCTGCCCTCTAGCTCTGATCTGAACAGATGTGCTTGATGCAGGAAGGGTGATTAACAAGCCGAATCCTTAGTCCAATTTGGGCTTAAAATGCAGTAGTGGGGGAGGGAGAGAGGAGTATTAGAGAGATTTGGGTCTCTAAGAAGGTTAAATCCCCACAAATAGCATTCAGCCTGTGGCAGTTCTAAACCAACAAAATTCCCTTTATTTAAACACTTGGGCTTAAAAAAATGCCTATATAAGAAGATTTTGGAGAAATAATGCTTAAAATTTGTCCAGTTGTTTCTGTGTCTGTCTGTACCAGTGTCTGCTTATGGACCACCAGGCCTGTCTTTCCATGACTGCCGTCTGTTTCCCCTTTTCCTCCAGTTCCACCCGTGGGCTGTACCACCACGGAGCCAGCCCGTCTGGGGAGCCAACGGTTCCCCTTCGGACAAAGCCCAGAACGAGAGGCATGCAAGATGATGGCAAAAGGGGGCACCCCAGAGGGCATCTCGTGCAATCCGGGCAATTGAGTTACTCCGAGTTGATCCCAGAGGGGAGGCCAAAGCAGCCACGTCCTGGTTTTCACTAACCCTAAACTGCATCCAAGCAGCTGCCGGGGCAGGGCAGGATTCGATTAGGAGAAATATTAAGTTAGAAAGGGATTTATTTCTAATGAAAAACAGCTTGGGAGGATTGTTAGGACGCTGGCGTGCTCCTGAGACCGGGGCGCTTAGCCCTAAACCTCTCGACAAGCGCTGGCAGGGAGTTTGCACGGTCTCCTAGCCAAGGGAGAGCTTTCTCCTCAGCTTGTCAGAAAACACCCAGGCCACTGCCACCGGCCCTCCCGGTGCAAAGGAGACGGCTGCACTTACTTGAAGAAGTCTTCCTTGCAGTAGACGCTCCCGGCTCTGGAGAAGCACCTGTCCGCCAGCTGCATCTGGCAGTCGGCACACTTGAGGCAGGAGCTGTGCCAATGCCCCAGGATGTGCTGGTTGCAGCCGGCGCACTGGGGAATCTCTGGGGAGGCAGCAGGCGGAGGGGGAAGGGGAGAGAGAAGAGCAGCGTCAGTGAAGACAGCCCCACCTGGGGAAAGGAAAAGGCGCAAAAGGGGCCTCGGAGGTCTGTCTCTCCATAGAAACGGAGAGAACCAGTCACCAGGCTAAGCCCACCTGGCGTCCCCAGTCCCTTCTGAGGGCTCACCCAGCCCTCTGCCTTCCCGCCGCTTCAGCAACACCCCCACCTGGGCTGAACGGGCTACCCCTCAGGAGTGCCTCAAGTCCCCAGCCGAGATGGGGACCTCCCGGTGCTAGGTGCTGCACAGATATAGCCGGAGACTCCCTCCCATGGCTTCTCTTCCTCATCTAGGCCATCCCTTCAACCTTCCTGTCAAGTATCTCCCCCACTGGCCACATGATCCCGCCGCTTCAGCAACACCCCCACCTGGGCTGAACGGGCTACCCCTCAGGAGTGCCTCAAGTCCCCAGCCGAGATGGGGACCTCCCGGTGCTAGGTGCTGCACAGATATAGCCGGAGACTCCCTCCCATGGCTTCTCTTCCTCATCTAGGCCATCCCTTCAACCTTCCTGTCAAGTATCTCCCCCACTGGCCACATGATCCCCCTTGTTCCTGCCCCTGCCCCTCCTCCATCCCTCCCTCACGCTGCCCCCTTGCTTGGGGCAGACTCCCTCTTCCTGCGCACCAACTGCCCCTTCCCTTCCTCAAAGCCCCCCTTAAAACCTCCTGCCTTCAGCCTTGTTCCCTGACCGTGTCCCCGCCTGATTCTGGAGGCACCACAAGGCCTCATACCAGACTGGCACCTCCAGGCTCGAAGGTCTGTGGGGGCCTCTAAAGCACCAGAGGACACCTGTGGCATAAGATGAATGACGCCCCTCACTCTAGTGCACCCCCACTTGCCTCAGCCCCACGGGGAGTGGGCCCACCACACGTTTCCCCTCCCAGAGGTCCCATCTGAGGTTCCCTTCCCAGGCCCGTCCCAAAGGAGGAATTTGGGCAGCGTGGGCGGCAAAAAACGGCTCTGAGGGCGCTTTGCTGCGCTCTGCCCATTGGTATCAACGCCACGGCAGGAGCCATGTTGCTGGGCTGCCCGATGCGTTCCTGCTCCCGGGGATTGGGGCTACTCGGCTGTGTGGAAGGGGACGCTGAACGAGCCATTGCAATCCCTGTGTTCAGGAGCAAGCGCCTGTTCGTGAGGGACGGTTGTTGTGAGGGTCCAGCCAGAACCTCATTCCCTACCCCCCCACACACGGATATCCCGGCCTAGCTCTCCCGTGGCAACGAGCAGGAGAGGCGCTGGCGCTAGCTGTGGGGCGCAAGCTCCCTCCACACACAGCACGTCGTGCGAGAGGCGCACCCACCCCCCTGCCCTGGTGTCATGGCAGCCTGGGCTAGAAGGCCTGGCCGGCAGTTCCCTGGCAGTGACGGGCTCTGTGGGAATCACTGTGTATTGAACTGGACATAACGGCTCCAGTCAGGGGAGCTGCACTTAGCGCCCCTGAGGAGAACGTGACTGAGGTTGTAAAGTCCCACACAGAGGCCCCCTTCCCCGACTCCGCCTCACCCCCACTGGCCACAGCCCTGTTCCCGGTCTCAGCCTCCCTCCTCCCAGTCTCTTTGCCCGGCCAGTCGCAGGTCTCCCTTGGCGTTCTGGCTTTGACTGGCTGTCCCCTCCTCGCTCAGCCTCTTGCTCCCACCCCTCTGGTGCTCAGACCCCCAGCACCACCTGGATCCGGGGCTCAGTGCCATCTGGTCTCACCCTGGGCTCCCAGTCCCCATCGCCCCACCAGCTCCTGGTCCCTCCTTCCCTCTCCCCCATCACCCTCAGGCTCCATCCCACATTCCCCCCCAGGCGCCTTCCCCCAATCTACAGGGCTTCCCCTCCCCTGCCAAGTCTGGCTCTTGTCCTCTCAATTCAGGCAGCTTCCTCCTCCACCCCAACAGGGCCCAGGAGGGGGAGCTATGAGAGCATTTGAAGAGACAAGCTTCCTGTTCTCCATTCCTTCCGTGCCCAGACCCAGCACGGCTTGGCCTGAAGCACCCATGAACAGCAACTGCTGGGAAAGTCCTGCCTGGCCCCAGGCGGGAACTTGCCCACTGTGGATTTAAGTATTTGGGGAATTAAGCTGAAAAGTTCTAAGTCTCTACTGAGCAGGTGCAAATTGCAATTTTTCAAAGGCTGGAAACCTGGGTGGCCACGCTTACGTGGCATTTTGCAAAGATAACGAATTTGCTGTCCTCCCCTCCAATGTGCAAGGCCCTGATCCAAAGCATGGGAGCACTTGAATGTCTCAAAAAAGAAAGCAGTGCCTTGCCACCAGAATTTTTTAACCTCAGCAAAACAACATATTCTATCTCCCTTAGGCTTGGTTTTTCAAACGCTTGAACCAGTTTGGCTCACATTTTCCAAAACAACTCAGCCTTCGGCAGACACCCAACAAGGTGTGCAAAACAAAACAAATCTCAGCTGTCTACACTGGCCCTTTTGCGCAAAAGTTTTGCACAAAAGGGACTTTTGCCCGAACGGGAGCAGCATAGTATTTCCACAAAAAGCACTGATTTCTTACAGCAGGAAGTCAGAGCTTTAGCGGAAATTCAAGCGGCCAGTGTAGACAGCTGGCAAGTTTTTCCGGAAAAGCGGCTGATTTTCCGGAAAAACTGGCCAGTCTAGACACAGCCTGTGTGTTTTTTGCAGAAGAGGATATGCAAATGGGGCACTCATTTGCCTATCTCACGCTTCATTTGCATATCTTCTTCGGATCCTTTTTGCAGAAGAGGAAATGCAAATGGGGCACTTATTTGCCTATCTCACGCTTCATTTGCATATCTTCTTCGGATCCTTTTTGCAGAAGAGGTTTTTGCGATTAAAAAGCCCTGTGTAGACGGGGCCATTTGTTGGGAAAAAAACCTTTTGCACAAGAGCCCTTAGTCCTCAAGAAATGAAATTTACAGGCTCCTGCGCAAAAAGGGTTTTTATCGCAAAAACCTCTTCCGCAAAAAGAATCAGAAGAAGAGATGCAAATGAAACGCGAGATATGCAAATGAGCATCCCGTTTGCATTTCCTCTTCCGCAAAAAACACACAATGCAGACGTAGCGTCAATGCATGAGCCTCTACAGCTTAAGCTAAAGGAGTCACTCCACTAGCCAGCAGTTATATAAGGTTCTTATCCTCCTATGGACCTGCTCCTAGAAGGCAGCAAAGACTTGCAATTTGCCAGGGTGGCCATAAAGCAGTGGTGACCCAGTTTTTTTCTCATGACCCAGTTGAAGAAAATCGTTGATGCCCACAACCCAGCCTAGTTTGACTAGCGTGCAGGATCTGGGATAGGGCTGAGGATGAGCTTTGGAGTGTAGGAGGGGCTCCAGCTTCGGAAGGGGTCAGTGTTGAGGCAGGAGGGGCTTACCTGGAGCGGCCCCCAGTCAGCAGTGCAGCGAGGGGGCTAAGGCAGCTTCCTGCCTCTCCTGACACCGCAGACCATGCTGCGCCCAGCATGCTGCACCCAGCCAATGGGAGTGCGGAGCTACTGCTTGGGGCAGGGCGGTGCATGGAGCCCGATGCGCTCTCCTCCCACTCCCCCACCTAGGAGCCGGGCCTGTTGCCAGCCGCTTCTAGGGTGCAGCACAGTCTGCGGTACCAGGACAAGCAGGGAGCTTAGCACCCCCACTGGTCACCTGATCCCCCTGCAGCAACAAGACCCAGCGCCTGACATTCCTCCACCCAGCACGGGGTCGTGACCCACAGTTTGAAAACTGCTGCCACAGAGGACACTGAGGGTGTGTCTAAACTACATGATTCCATCGATGGAGCCATGTAGATTAGGCTGATCGTCAAAGGGAAATGAAGTCACGATTTAAATAATCGCGGCTTCATTTAAATTTAAATGGCTGCCGCGCTGAGCCGACAAACAGCTGATCAGCTGTTTGTCAGCTCAGCGTGCTAGTCTGGACGTTCCCGCGCCGACCTGAAAGCCCTTTATCGACCTCCCCGTTATGCCTCGTAGGATGAGGTTTACCGGGGAGGTCGATAAAGGGCTTTCATGTCGGCAGGGGAGCATCCAGACTAGCCGGCTGAGCCGACAAACAGCTGATCAGCTGTTTGTCGGCTCAACGCGGCAGCCATGTAAAATTTAAAGAGCCGCGATTATTTAAATCGCGGCTTCGTTTCCCTTTGCCGAACAAACAAATCTACGTGGCTCCGTCGACGGAGCCATGTAGTTTAGACGAACCCTGACAGATGATGATTCCAAACTCATCAGCAGGGTAGCCAATGGAGTACTGTAAGCAGAAAGAGATGAATAGACTAGAATAGCGACACCAGGAAAGAGCTAACACACCAAGATCATGGGGCTCATTAATGCCAGTAAAAACAAGATGGGATGGTAGGCCCAGGTAGGGTTGCCAGCCTTCCAAGATTGTCCTGGAGTCTCCAGAAAGCCGAGAGTCATATTTAATTAAAGATTATGCCACGAGATGAAACATCCAAGGATATAGCCAACCCAAACTGGCCTGGGAGACTACGCAAAAATTCTCCTGTGCTAGACAGAGCGGCATGGCCACGCAAGAGCAGGCTCCATGCTCACACCCCTTGCAGTACCAATGGGACAGTGTAACTCCTTCACTTTCTGACCTACATTGTTGCCGGCTGTTCCTGGTCTCTGTTAAATGGCTCTCTCGTTCCACACCAAAGGTGGCTGCATTTCACTGTTGACTGAAATGATCCCTGTGTAGTATTTATGCTTTGTAAAGAGCTTTTGAAAGGCTTTGGGGTGAGAGGCAAGTATAAAAGCAAGATATATACCTAGCTATCCAACTCATATAAGATGTCTGGCTAGAGACAGACAGCTTATATAGATCTGGATAGCTAGATATTTATCGCCTTTTCTAGCTGCCGATAGTTCAGAATAAGCCGGGAGTGCTGTAAAAGTCGGCAAGAGATGCTTGCCCTGTAAAAGCAATGCACATAATGCTGCCACACGTGCATAAAAGATGATTGATTGTACA